CTCCTGGCCTCAAGCGATCCTCCTGCCTCAGCCTCCCGAGTAGCTGGGAGTACAGGCATGCGCCACCATGCCCGGCTAAGTTTTTCTATATGTTTTCAGTTGTCCAGCCAATTTCTTTCTATTTTTAGTAGACGGGGTCTCGCTCTTGCCCAGGCTGGTCTTGAACTCCTGACCTCGAGCGATCCACCTGCCTCGGCCTCCCAGAGTGCTGGGATTACAGGTGTGAGCCACCGCGCCCAGCCTAGACAGTGACTTTTTCCGCATTAACTGGTTTAGAGGACTCTGAGGGCCTTTTCCAGCCATGGTGCTGCCGAGATCTTGCTTGAGAGACTTACAGAGAGGTCTCCCAGGGTCGGATACCCAGCTCTGGGTGCAGAGCGCTAAACAAGGTGCATCAGGAACCACCGAGGCTGGGTGTGGCACCCTCGTGCAGGCAGCCCTCGGCCAGGCCCAGCAGTGCCCACCTGGAAGTCGGCGGTCACGGAGCCCCCGCAGACGTCGATCAGCTCGGTCATGTCGTAGTAGGCGTCGAAGGTCCACACGCAGCTCTTCAGGTTCAGGTGTTTGTAGAGCTGGATGGTCTTGGGCTCCCGCACGCTGGGGTCGAACTGGAAGGGACGGTCGTAGCCGGGCCCCAGGGCGGTGCTGTCCTGGGCCATGTCGTCCAGGAACCCTGCCTCTGCGGGAGGGGAGGAAGGAGGAAAGGTCGCTCGGTCTGCGGATGCCCAGGAGCTGGCTGGGAGAGGACCACGCCCTTCTGCCCTGTTGACTCTGAGAGCACTTTGGTCACCGCAGACCCTATCAACAGAGCGACTCGGGGCTCCCGTGAACACGCAGTGAGGGTGTGCGAGGAGCCAGGTGCTGAATGGGGAACTCGCCTCGAAGCGGACACGGGGACCTGGGAACGACAGGTGAACACATGGTAGCCACCTGGAAAGTCTAGTTCCCTTCCTCACAGACATTACCACCAGCCCTGAAGAAATGGTTTTGCTGTATTATCATTCGCTGATAAATTATTATTTTAAAACCAATTTTATAAACAACTTTCAGAGAAAGCCGGCGAACCTACCTCTAACTCTCTCTCCTCCCTCCCTCCTGTGGTTTCTGAACTCCTGGGGAAAAAGTCTTAATTTTGTGTTAAGGGGAAAATAGCTCACTAACAATGTTAGTCAACAACCCTCAGCTGTTATAGGCAACATATATGGAATCAAACGCTGCCAAACGAGTGGATGGTTCTAGATTAAGGAAGACCTCTATGCAGCAGAGAGCTGAATATAGATACAATTTTAAAATATTAGGGTTAACATTTTTGTAGCACTAAAAACAACTGTAGTATTTTAAAAAGAGTTAATGCCTTTCTTAGAATGCGTGGCACCAGCACCCAGCCCCCTGCCCCACGAGGACGAGGTACCCAGTTAACGTGTCTGGAATTAATTGTTTTTAAGCAGAGAGAGGTGCGAAGTGTCAGTCTTCAAACATAGTATGTTTCTTCCACCAGCTGCATATGTGGACCAGGTCGACTTGCAAGTGTAGCTCAGTCACTGACGAATGATCTACAATCAACTAACTTGTAGAACGACCGTCATGACCAAAGGTGACGCTTTACTGACTATGAAGGAACATAGGATGCATTTCTGTCTTCAAACACACTGTTCAGTGACCGTCAGCTGTGAAGGGAGGAAACACGCATTTGATACGCGCTTGCCGAGGTGAACGGACACGGACGGGATTCTTCATAAAAACGTCTGCCGCGGCGAGCACAGAGGTGCGTGGCTGCCTGCGCTGCAGTCTGACGTCTCCCTCTGCCCGATCCTGTTTCCCGCCTTCCTTTTATCAGGTCTGATGGCCACGAACTCCGTCTCAGCTCCTGCTCTGGGGGGACCCCTTCCTCGACATCTAACATCTGCACTTTCCTTTCTAAAGATGCTGCTATAATGGAATTCTGGAGCGTAGACCCAACTCCAGTAGACCACGGCAGGTACTTTATTTATTTATTTATTTTTGAGACAGAGTCTTACTCTGTTGTCCAAGCTAGAGCGCCATGGCTTCAGCCTCGCTCACAGCAACCTCAAACTCCTGGGTTCAAGCGATCCTCCTGCCTCAGCCTCCTGAGTAGCTGGGACTACAGGCATGCGCCACCATGCCTGGCTAATTTTTCTATATATTTTTAGTTGTCCAGCTAATTTCTTTCTATTTTCAGTAGAGATGGGGGTCTGGCTCTTGCTCAGGCTGGTCTCGAATTCCTGAGCTCAAATGATCCTCCCACCTCGGCCTCCCAGAGTGTTGGATTACAGGCGTGAGCCACCGCGCCCGGCCGCGGTAGGTACTTTAAAAAGGTCAGTGCGTTTCATCCTGACCTGGACTGGTAGCAATCACTGTTCTCGTGTTCTGCCTAAGACAACGCTGGCTTGGAGAGGTCAACTGTGTTTTTTCAGTTGTGCAGACAGTGGAATAAGGATTTGAACCTACATCAGTTTGGTTCCAAAGTCCTTGTTTTTTCCTGTTCACTCCCTTGTCTGAGTGGCCTGTCTGGGTGCTTGCTAGGAAGGAAAACCACCAACATGCAGACTCTGAGGATGGAGAAACACGAAACGCAGAGCCCCCCTCACCCGGCCACATCCTGAGAGCCACCGCACGGGGCCGGTGTGGAAAGACCAGCCACTCGCCACTCACCCGAGATGCCTCTCAGGTCGTGGGTGGTGACTAAGTTGGAACAGACGTGCTGGTGCCTGTAGATGGACTCGGACAACAGAAAATGCAGGTTGTGCAGCGGCAGGGTGGAGACGAGGGGCAGCATTCCATCCTGGTGTGGGATCTGCACCGAAATGTGGATTCTGGGGGAGAAAGGGCAGAAATGAATGTCAGGCTGCTGCTGCAAACAGTCCGTAGGCTGCTTTGCTTTCTCACCACCTAACTTGTCTCCACCAATGAATTATCGATTTATTTTCCTGAAGCTTTCCACGTGGGATTTCTGTCTGGACACAGGGTGTGGATGCACATACGGGGTTGTTTTCTGTTCCGAGAGACCCTCTAGACTCAGGACTGAGAGCAGTCAGGAACCACAGATTTTATTTTTTCTATGCAAGAAAAGATAATGTCACAACCACAGATTACTTTAAACTTTTCTTTTGCTTTCAGTGGAACTCTTGTTTTCTCAGGAGCTAAAGCTGCTTCCTGCTCTGTGACAGCGAATTTCTGTGGAACCTGGGGAGGGTTGACATTCATATTTCTTTTTAAGTATTTGTTTGAGTCAAAAAGACACCGTTGAGCTTTTAAGATCTAAGGCCAATTTCTCCACTAAGCCAAATCTTTTAGAAATTACAGCAACCTGCTACTCACACTGCCTCTCCCAGCTGAAAACACCTTCTCTCTTCCTTCTCCCTGTAAGTCCCACCAACGCCACTGTGCGTGGCCCTCACCGGCCTCGGCCTGCTGACCCCCGATCTGTGCCTCTGCACTTAGGTAGTCTTTGTGCTGGGAACTCTGTGACTTATTCATGTTGGCTGCTATTTCTTATGTGTTTCCAGACTTTGTCTATCTTCCCTCTCCACTATGAGGACAAGGAACACTTCCTTCACTTCTTTTGTTTCTCCAGAGCATACAGCATACAATTCTAAATAAAATACGAACTTAGTAAATGTCGGTGAAGACTGCAACCCGACAGAACTACATTTACGAGCTGTGGCTTTTTCACTGCACCAGTTTAAATTTTGAGCATGTTTATTGAAAGTGTGTTTTGAGTTTATACAGCTTGTGTCTCTGAGCAGAGAGCCACATGTTTAAAAGGACTCAGAAACTTGGTGTGAAGAGGAGGACCCTTTTTCTAGAAATGTACCCTGGGTACTTCTGTTATTGCTCTTTAGCAAAAATATGTTTTATTCTGTTAGGAAAAAAGAGGGATTTTTATGTTGTTGGCAAAACATTCAAAACTGGTTTTTTCCCCATGCAAAGGACGCCATTTCTCTGAACTCAGTTGTTCAATAAGGGACACGTTTAAATATTACGATGTTTAATAAATATGTACGGCATACGCAAATTCTTCTTTGCTATGCAAAAATGAAAATATCCATCTCCCATTAAAATCACGGTGGCACAGGGAAAAATAAGTCCAGTGGCCCATGGTTTATATAGCGTTGTCACTCACTTGTTCAGTAAATATTTAGCAAGTGCCTCTTAGGTGTCGGGAAGCGCCGTACTAGGCAGAGGACAAGTGAAACGAATAATCACGGTCCCTGCCCTTAAGGTCTTAGCGTCTACTATGGGGGCAGAGAGAATGAATAACGATGCTCTGAAAGGAGCTCTATGCAGCTGGAGGAGCCTCCAAATTAAACTGGGGAGATGATGGGAATGTTCCTGGAAGAGATGCCACGAGCTGGGTATTGCAGGACAGTAGGATTTCACAACAGCCCATGGGAGCCAGTGGGGGTTGCTGGGTTAACAACACGGCAGAAGGACGCAGCCCGAACGAGTCCAGAGCCCTCAGGACGTGACCCGGGACTCACTGCGGGTGGACGGGCAGATGGAAATGCCAATGCGGGGGAAACGAAGCTAGGAAGACAGGCAGGGGCCAGACCCTGAGGGGCCTTTGAAGAACTCAAAGTCTTTCTGAAGCCTTTATCGCCACTATCTTTACTTTGCAGAAGCATCGCTCACTGCTCTGTCCTACGTGGGAAACACACGAAGGACACCCGAGACTCGCCCCGCCCGCCCGACCTGTTCGGATGCTCCTTGTGCTTGACGTCCAGGTATTTCAAGGTGGCGATGAAGGACTGGGCCTGGAAGCCTCTGGAAGTCCC